AATTTAATGTGTTTTTTTTTGGGGAAAAAATCGTCATTTCATACTTGTACACCTGGTACTTATTTGAATTCTTATAAGACTTATGCCAACTATGTTACATAACAATTGAACACCTGTCGATAACATGAAGAAAGATTCTAATATACAAACATACCTGACAATGAAAATAATTCGTAAGTCTAATTATAAGTTGATATAATATGATAATGAATAAGCAATAAATCACTCTTATAGCTAAGATCCAAATAATTTAATATCCCAATTTTTAGTCAGTCACAATGACGCGCTAATATTCAGGAAGTACAAATTTAATTGCAAGCAAGTTTTTTCAAGCATGATAAATTCATAAAAAATCGCCTTCTCTTTGAAGCAAGATGAAGAAGTCTTCGACTTCTACATCTTAACACGTTCTTTCTTTGCTTTTCGCGAAGTAATTTGTTTCAATATGTCCTTTTAAAATAACATGCTCTAATCGATACCTGAACAAATATTAATGTCCAACAAATATGGTATCCAAAATTTATTCGAGAATCTACACTATGGTACCATAAAATATTAAAAAGTTATGTTTACCCAATGACTGCGAATAAACTGCAGCCATGCTCCATGTATGATATGTATGTAGTGTCGGTGCATACTATGATCGATACGATCAGTACAATCGCCGCGTAAGAATGCAATAAGATGGGATAGTAATATTTCTCCCGATCTACACGATACTCGACCTTGATTAATAACTTTCGCGGACGAGTGTCGTTGAGAGGCATTACAATGTCCATGATCTGCGGCGACATCGGAATTATCATGAACAGTACCATCGACATGTAAATATAAACTGCGAACAACATCTTTACTGTTTATCTCATCTTCTTCATCTTATTGTTTTTCAATTGATATAGCTGATATAATAATAGTAGCATACGTGCTGTTTTCGAAATGATTAAATTTACGATTCATTATGTTTAATCATGGTCAAGCGGAAGAAATCTAGGAAATTAAGGTTTCTTACTTGAATAAAATATTATCACTTTTCTACCAAACGTAACGTAATCTTGCATGATCTTGATGTCCGTGGAATTGGTAAACACCTGCCAGTGGTATTCAATTAAAGAAAACAAGTGTCGCATCTAAAGTTTTTATGATACAAAGATTAAGTACAATATGAAATGCAATTACACGTGTAAATATGATCTATAAAAGGAATTTATTTATACCTTCTTAATATTAAGAATAAGGTCAATTTTGAGAGACTGCCGAGAAGAATTATCATCGAAATCATGCACTCGACTGCGATATCAACATTACCCCAAGTATCGAACATGCATATGATCTGAGTGAATGAAGTATCACTGTAAGACATGTCAAAGAAGTCGTAATATTGAGATAACTGTAACATTGTAATATATTCAAGTGATGATGAATAGCTATCACTATTTAAAAATCAGATATTAGCCAAGAAATCAGCAAATCGGAGATCCAAATTGGTTCAATTGGCGCAATTGATTCTGAAGCGCTCTATATATTAGGTGTAGTAAAAAGAAATCCATTATTTTTGCATGAAATTGAATGGAAAAATAATGGATTTCTTTTTACTACACTTAATTTTTTTCAAAAAAATGCGGATCGAATCCGAAAATGTATGTGCATAGCTTCATAAATATAATAGTTGCGAGATCGAATACATAATTACCTCTGCTATAAGAATGCTGATAGAGATTAACACTATTGTGCTGGGTATCAATATCCTCTTTGTCTTGCTCTGATAAGGCCAGGTGCCAATCTGCGACATGAAGATTTTGTTAATGCGATAGTAATGCAATATGACCGACTGCATGGTAAACTTGCCACCATAGTAAGAAATTGGTGAGTAAACTGAAGAAGACATATACTTATGTATAGGATGCATACGGGATGTAATCAAGTTTGACACGTTCAATGTTCGTAATGATACATTGTCAGTTATTCGTTCAAGTAGTCATTTGAAATTGTCGTTCGAGCAGCGGGAGCTCGAGGCGATATCGATTTGAGCGAACAGACGATTAGCACTTTTCTTTGCGATAGTTCAATTTAAGACTTTGACAAAAAACCAAGTTATTCTCAAATTATACGATTAATTGTGTCTTACTTAATCACGCTATATCTCTTATCATATCTTTTTTCTAATAAAATTTAAAGAATTACGAGAATTTAAAAAATGGACTGCTTATATATTGAGTTGTCCGGAAAGTTCGTGCCGATGTTGAAGGAAAATTGAAACGCAGAAAATTTAAATTTTATATATTTATTATATATTTTGTATATATATTTATTAAATTATATAAGTTAGTCGACACGAACTTTCCGGACAATCCAATAATTTATTTGTGAAATAATTTGTGACAATTGTGATAATTCAATTACTTTGTATTTATACGTTTATATTAATTGGTTGGAATTTTTAATTAGCTTTTCTTATCCATTATTTCATTTATTTTTTTAATCTTAATTATTCTTTTTTTCATTAACATTTACATAAGAATTATACAGGAAATTCTGATAATAAACTCGATAAATGTATTACATATCAATACATTTGTATAAATACACTAGCATTAAATAATGAAATTTATTTAATTAATTAATATTTTTATTTACTATATAAAGATGCAGATAAAATAATTATTTTAATGCAAAAGCATACTTATTAGAAAGACATCAAAGCCATAAAATTCATTGGAAATCTCATCTACACAATCTGAAAAAAAGAGACACTATTGAAGTTAAATATAATATTTAAATGTAATATTAACCTACAAATTCGTGGATATTCGTATTGTACAATTATCTTTAGTGACACTATAAGTTTTTATCGTGTCATCATCTTGTTCAATGTTATGACTTCTCATTCAGATAAGTATAATGTATCCTTTTGAACCTCTCTCTTGATTTTGAATTTTGCACATTCATACAAATAATATCTTAGGAATGTACTAACATTTACCAACAATAGAGCATAATAGTTGGAGCATAATATTGCAGAAGATTGAAATTATATTTCCATTAAGCTCGTAATCTGCCAATAGTTCTTGTTGATAATCCTGTTGATAATCTGACAGATTGCAGCAGAAACCAAATTTAAATTGTCATTTCATTGAAATGAAACATATTTAGCTGGTTATGAAATGACAGATTTTGCTCGGTTTCTACAGTCCCTTCGATATTTTGTTAGCAGATTCTGTTCTATTTCCACTGGCATTTTATCGATCAAATTTGTCGACACGTCAATTCATGCCTTCAAGTTTTATTATAAATCGAGGGAGTTTTAGACTGTACAGGAAAAAATGTAAGTATATTTTTCTATTTTCGAGTAAACTACACTTTTGAGCATTATAATTTTATTGAAAAAAAAAATTTTTTTTAATCCAATTGAATTATGTCCCATTTTTCCATATTAATCTTCCGTTCCAAATGGGGATTATGATGTGACATCCCAACAAGATAAATTTTTATAACTTCTTAAAAAGTCGCGCACATATCGCCGATTTTGAGCAACTGGAAAGTACGTTGTCATCATACTAAATTATATTTATAACGAAGTATAACATGGGGTATAAGATATATGATCCATGTTGATTTTCCACTTAGTTCGCGGAGGATTAATAACACTTTACATTTTCGCATATACTTGCTATTTTTAATTTGATATTCATTTATTTTAGGATAATAACTTCATTTCGCGAACATATAGCTAACACTAACGTATACAATACTTACATAGAACACATTGAATTCTCAAATTGCTCAGGCGACAAAATTACGATTCATTTACATTATTCCCGCGTAAATGAGTCGATCGACAACGAAAAGCTATGATGAAAAGGGTTTCAGTGCGTGCAAATAATTGATGGCATAATGACGGACATTTATTCGCAACACAAGGAATTGTTAATGTCCCAGCGCTTCGCTTGGTGGCGATCGTACGCAAAATAAAGCAAGTGTCGTTGATATAGTTCGTATTCCTAGTATTTCTAAGAATGATCGAGCGAAAGGACATTTTGCAAAGTCGGTATTATACAATTCCTAGATTATACATGACGTTAGCAGGATTATGGCCGTATCATCCAATTCGCAATAGATATCTGCATTTTGTACCAACGTTTACGATCTGTTCGATCATTCTTATACCCATGGTACATAATTTACTTTACTTAAGAAAAGAATAATGACATGAATCTCAAAAAACTTTTTATTTTCTTTATATCAAATTTTTTATATAAAATCTATCGATATATATTTTTTTATATAAAATTTGCAACGCACTTTGTAGCGTTCGATAGTACTCAATTATTAACCAGCTTCTTTCATAAAAATATATTTCTTGCTAAACAAAAATATCTTGAGGCTCAGATTTTCGATCTTTTAGAAAGAATACATTAATCATTATCTTATCAATGTTTTACAACATCTATATCGATATTTTCTAATATAGCTATTGTATGTCCACCTCGCTTTGAGGGATCTCGATGATCTATTCGAATGTATGCCAACGATATTAATCACAATAATATTCAGCTTTAAATTAGCGAGCTTGATGGCAAACAGTAAGAAAGTAAATAATGTGATTATATATGCAAATTTTATTAATGCAATTAATGTCAGGTAGTCTAATTCTTATTGACCAATAACAAATATAATTGTTATTGGTAAAAAAGATGGGTGTGATTGTGTTTGTAGATAGAGGCCTGTTTTAAAACGATAGAGGACGATTGGTTATCATTAAAAACGGATAGTGAAAAGGCTATTCTGCAACGACATGCTATACATGGTCAATATCTGACGATATTTTATGCAGGTATGTCAAAAAGAAGATAGATTAAGTTTCATTTTGGTAAAATATTCTCTTGGAAAAAAAGTATATAAAAAAATTGCTAGAAAATTGTTAGAAAACTCTTTTCCAGTAACTTGATAAAATCTTTTAGTGGCGCTCTTTGTATTACTCATATATCACTTTTCCAGTCTTTATGATTTCGACGGGATTGCTCTACATGTTCAAGTCAATTGTGTTAATAATGATAGAGGATACATCAAACTCGACTAGATTGGACGCAACGAAACTACCTTTCCGCGTGGAATACGGCTACAGAATAGATCAGTACTTCTATCCAATAATGATTCATTGTTATCTAACTGTATACTCTCATGTGACCGCCACAGTTGCTGCTGATACTTTCTACTTCGCTTTGATTCAACATGCCTGCGGGATGTTCTCGGTTGTCGGGTAAAAATATTAAAAAGAATATTTTAAAAACTGATATTAGGAAACAAACATCATGACCGACATTACAAAAAACATTTTGATATAGAAAAGATCAAAACCGGTTGTCAATTTTTGAATAATTATTTATAGAAAAAAATAGATGTAAAATTTTTAAACATTATATACGTTATAATGCTTATATATTTACATCTCTTGAGTATTTTTAAAAAAGATTACTTGAATACATCATCATATAAATAAGTTTTTAATTTAATTTAATTTTAAATAAAGCTGCAAAAATGTGACAATTAATCTCGTACTTAATATACGTGATATACGTTGTTAGTAACATAGGGTTGGTAACATATTTCACATGGATAAAACTTGAAAAACGCAGATTTATTTTAATATCAGTTCATATGTGAGAAATAATAGTAATTATAGTATTAACGTAAGTAAAATAATAACACTATCCGACAAAATTTAACTTTTCTTTCCTGTGACAATCATGACAAATATTTTTTAGTAAATTCGAAAGCACTAAATTCGAATTCCACCATCGAAAGATTTCTTATAAAATAAATCGAATAATATGAGTCAAAAAGCTTCATTTTTAGTAAGACAGTTTGTATTCACTATTTTTCTAAGAGAGATTATATTCAAAATTCTTTATTACAATAATGATTAATTAACATAAAAAAAATATAGAACATGTCATTTTTATGATTACAAAGAAATTACGATAGGTAATTCTAAGAACTGATAAAACAAAGGAGATTACGGCGAACAAGATGCATAATATGGCAGTATGATCAAAAATTGCTTCAAAATGCTAGTGCTACTTTTATTTTTCTAAAATTTTTTTATTCATGTCAACTGCATTTAGATGTAAAATGCATGCTATTTTACTATTGCGTATCTTCGAGAATATAACTTTGTCTAATTCCGCCATGAAAGGAAATAATAAAAATTTACTCATCAACTTCATTTTTTTAAACGTCATTGCAATATACACAATGCTTTTAGCGCATCAGCAACCTAGTAATAATAACCAGTAAAAATAAGTGAATATCTTGTCATGTATTGATTGAGTTTAAACTTTTAAGAACCAATCTTTATGATCGGTTCCCTGATTGTTTCGGTCCTTCTTAATATCAATTTAAATAAAGTCGATCTAAAAATATAATTTGCCAAGAATATTATCATTTTAGTGGCTTCCAGACACATGCTGGAACATATTGGCGAGAATATTAATGAGAATTTTAATCTGAAGCCCCACAAGATGAATGACAATGATTACAATAAAGCTCTCAGTTGTTTACGCAAGCATCTGCATGTAATAAAGTACGTGTTAATTTTATTAATTTTAATAAAATTGTGTATTTTACGTTCTATTGTTTGTAACTACATTCAAATTTCGCTATAGATTCGCAGAACTAATCGATTCCACGTTTGCCAATATATTCTTGGTTAGCGTTAGTTTGAATATGATCGGTGGCAGTATATGCGGTATTCAGGTACATTCCGATTTCTTTATATTATATTTTACAATGAGAATTATTGCAGAAAAGATAATTTTTTATCTAATGAGTATTAATAATAGTATTTATGTTTTCTGATCTGGATGTTTCTCTTGAATCATTGAAAACTCTTCATATAATAATACAGAAATGATACAAAAGGAAATGTATGTTTCAGGTACTGATGAATCTAAATGACGCGAAAGATATAGTAGCACCCCTCGCTATTTACGTTGCTCAACTCACCCATCTTTTCTTTCAATTTTGGCAAGCTCAATTTTTGTTGGATTACAGCGTCATTCCATATGAATCGATGTAAGAAATGAAATCGTTTTGGGCTCATTCAAGAGCTCTCGTTATCTTTTTGAAACATCAAAATTCCAAAAATCGAAAAGCTGCAAGAACTGTGAACATAAACTTAGCAGTTTTACTGCTATTTATTAATCATGATTTGAATCATAGTTGCAGAGCAAATTGGTATTACACCTCGGAAAGATGCAAAAAACTTTTACTGTTAATCATGAGTAGAACCATATCACCATGCAGAATAACTGCTGGCAAAGTAGCGACTCTATCCATTGAAAGTTTCGGCGTAGTAAATATAACTTTATTATTTAATAGTTTCTCAAGTTTCTTTGCATCTTTAGTCTTAATATATAAATAATGATGTTTCTCTTTAAAGGTTCTGAAAACATCAATATCCTATTTTACGATGCTACGCTCTTTTCATTAACAGTTTCAACGTGTGCAGGCTAGCTTGTTAAAAAAACTCTACAAGCCATATCTACATGTGGATCGTGATACATTTACGTGATTACAATTAATCTGAGTTATTTTAAATGTTAAAGATATCGAAAATATAAAATTTTATGCTAACAAATCTCAAAAATCTTTTTTTCTTATTCACTTTTTTCTTATTCTTAAGAATTATGAACATCAAAGAGAAACATGATTCGCAATAATTGACATAATTGTCTAAGAATAAAATTCTTTTAGACGTAATTTAATCCATAAATTATACTTTTGTGAAGGTCAGAACGATTCAGACATGAACGAATAAAAATATTACTAAAGAAATATCTTAAAAATATTTTTCTTTTAATTTCTAATGTTTGAAAATTATTATTTTATGCTATTATATGCCTCAGTGTGTGTAATTACTTATAAATAAAAATAATAAAAAATAATAAAAATAATAAAAAAATAATAAATTTTATGTAGATTTAAATTTTTAATAAATTAAAGTATGG